AAGGGATTGTCTCGTTACTCCATGGAGATCAAAAGATCAGAAGCCTGATATATCGTTCTGCTTTATATGTAATAAAGTCATTTCCATGAGGCATAAAGACGTGTCAGTTGGGTTTTTCCACCCATTTCTGACACCTGCAATACACAGAAAAAAAATTGTTTTTGCTTTATAATCGTGCAAATGCCTTTTTTCTTTTCTTTTTTCCTCTCCAAGATGTGACTGGAAATATAATTTAAAACATTAACCTTTAAATAAGTAAAAAAAAAAAAAAAATTTATTAAAATCCAATAATTAGTTGATTTTTGGCTTAAAAAAAAAAAAAAAAAAAAAAAAAAATGAAAATTCTACATTTTTGTCTTTTCATAGTGTTATTTTCTGAAATATCTCCATTTCAAATAATTTTAAAGTTTGAATTTTCTCACAATTGTTCTATTTTAATAATATTTTTTTCTTTTTTAAAAGAAACTTTTTTTTTTTTCTTATTTTTCTGACATGAGTTTTTGTTCATGCAATGAGCATAAGAACAATTTTCATGTTCTTACTTATTTGAATTAATAATCTTGAGATAAATGTTAAGTATACGGGAGAATAAGCATCTGTGGATTTTGGTATCTATTCTATTTCTTGTAATCAGTTCTCCAGATACTGGAGGACTTTTTTTCATTTAATGGTTGACATTTCATTATTGGGGTGGGTAAACAATAGCTTTTTCCCTTGGAAAGTCAGTTATAGGAAATTGGTTTATCAACGTACTCATCCATCCACTGTAGTTAACTTTTGATATTATTTTAACCTGTTCCCCTATTAGTACCATGAGGTGTCTGGACACCTGACAGTGTTTAGCAAGTGGAAAATCAAATTTTCATGATTAGTCATGGACGTGATGTGGCTTCCCTCTGTCTTTTCTACAAATATTTTCATGGTAACTAATCTGTGAGCATTTTTCCCCTGGTTCCTCGACTACATGAATTTAAGCATGCTACTAGATTGGCATCTAGGTCCCATCTGTTTACTGTTCAAATAGCTAAATGCAATTGCCACTTCTACTACAACAGTTTATCTCGCACTTCCTGCCTGTAGAACTCCCTCCCATTTATTTTCTTCTCTACCACCTACAATCTTCAAAAATTTAAATGCAACATCAATTGGCATTTTCTTGAATCCTGTTCATCTTTTGTCCTTTCCTCAATACTCCCCAAACTCAGCGTTTTCTCTCACTCACTCACTGTAACCACCCGTGTACTAGTGGCAATCCCACTTTGCTTGGGGTGAAATTATTAAAAAAAAGGAAAAAAAAAAAAAAAAAATTGCTTTCTGAATACCTCAAGTAACTAAAAGGAGTTTCTGATTTTAATCATATTTGTGTAAATTACTATTTTATTTGTTTACTGAAAACAAAATAAAATCTATTTTTGTATATTTGAATTTTTGAAACACAAAATTATATTTTTGGCGTGTGTGGGTGGTAAGGAAATTGTAATGTATTAATCAAGTGGAGAGGTTTGTGTCTTTAAAAGGTAATTATAGCTTTTACATGAGTGAGGTGATTAGCATTGGATGGTGGGAAGATGTGTGCCTCCTTAGCCTATCAACCATTATTGTAAATGTTGACTAGATTAATCTGCACCTTTAAAGCCCTCAACAAGTTCAGTGGGTTCATAATGTTATCTGCAGGAAACTTGAATTTCCTACATATTGTGGGTCACTTGATCAATTTTAAGTGAAGAGGAAGAAAAAAAAAAAAAAAAAATTGAGGAGAACACATACAGCTTCTTGACCTCACATTTTCCCCAGGCACAGGGTGGAGCAACTGTACTGAATCAAATGCTATGTGTACTGCTGAAAAGTTTAGTTTGCTGTGTCATGCCAGAAGGATTTTTCTTGTCAGAATGCATTTTGCACATTTATAAATGTACCATTCACCTATGCATTGAATACCACTGAAATATCTAGACTATTGCTCTTGCTGCATATCTTGAGATTCTTGACAAAATTCAAAGGGGGTCTGTAATATAATCCATCCTCACTTGGCATCTCGACTTCAGTCACTTTCTCATCCACGTGACATGGTTTCTTTTTGTCTTTTCAGCAACTATTTTCATGGCAACTGTTTTGATGAGCTTTTTTCTTTAAGTGTTGACAATATGAATTTAAGCCTGCTACTAGATTGGCAACTAGGAAACAAATATGAACTATGTTTCTATTTGACTATTTGTTTCAGCTTATTTAGGGTGAAATCCTTACTACTTCCACTCACATATACACGGTGTATTTTGTTGCTCTCTCACTCAACTGCACCCCACACATAATCAAGGTGATTGCAGTCTGGGGAGTTAGGTGGCCAGATGTAAGGGGTGATGTGATTGCAGAAATTGTCTGACAGCATTGACTGGGTGCTCCTGGTTGTGTGTCATGGTGCAGAATCTTGTTGCAAGACATAGGGTCTTCCAGCAGCCACACTGTTGTCCTAGGGCAGCACTATCTTCACAAGGCACTAGATATAGGCCTCTGTTTTGAGTCTGAGGCCATCACCAAAAATTTCCAGACATTTTTTCTTATCAGAACAATCAGAGTGAGCTTTCCAAGCTGCTGTATCTTCATAATCACCATTAGACTCATCCAACTCTTTCCAAATCCTCTGCACTGTGCTCAGATTGATGGCCAAACACTCTGAAATGTTCGTATTGGAGCTTCCAGCATGTATGCCAAGCAGTACAGCATACCATTTTCTGGCAGAGTGAATTGCATCATGGTGCACTTTTTCTTGCAGATGGTGCCCAACTGACCCTACTATACTGTGCAGTCGACAAAAATCAAGAAATGCACATGTGCAAAATTAAAAATATAAAATTTACTCATCACCATATATATATATATATATATATATATATATATATATATATATATATATATATATATATATTTCAATTAAAAAGGTGCAAATTATAATTTATAAATTCATGAATCATTCATACATTTCTCATAGCATTTTTTCTGATTACATCTCTATTTTTGTTGTCCTCTTATTACCGAGAAGTAAAAACAAGAACAAAATCTATTTCCATACCTGAGGATGTCTGTAGGAACAGACGAAAGCTTGTAAAATTAAAAGACCTTATGAAACTGGAATTTATGAACAGGAATCATATCATTCATATACAGGTTCGGGGTTGATGTATCTTATTTATATTGTTTGCGAAGATGTATTCTCGCTATTTAAATCATTAACCTCTATATTTGTTTTTTGTATGAATGATTCATATATATATATATATATATATATATTATATACACACACACACACATACATACCATAAATAACCAAAAATTAAGTGCTTGAAAAGTGAGCATGAAAAAAAAAAAAAAAATTATTTCTGGGATTCACAAAAAAATGATTTCTCCTCCCTTTTGCTCATAGGTAACTGAGAAAAGAAAATTCCCAGAAGTTAAACTTTTAAAAAAGAAAACAGTATTATTCCAAAATAAAGATAAGCTAAAATAAAAATTTTAAATATAAAATCCACTAATAAATGTCAATCTCCAATAGAAGTTACCAGATACTAGTGGAGAAATGGAAAAATTTTCAAAATTTCCAAAGTTTAGTGTGCATATGTCTGACACTAGGTTATTTGGGATCTCATATCCTGGGTTTGTTTTCTTTGAGAAAAAGAAGTGCACTGCATGTAACCTACCCAGAAAGAGGGGTGTTTTGAGAGTGATTTTTTTAACCAAAGAACATCACCTTAACCATGACAAATTTCATGAAAATAATTAAACTAGTTGATTTCTGGACACACCTGTTCATTGTATATTGATCTCGCAAGTGACTGATAAGTTGATCCTCTGTGGGTGCTGATAAGTCATCATGGGCATGGATTGGTTTTGGTTCAAACAAGATGTTCATTTTACTTCAAGAATGGTTTGGCTATTTATTTTATTACTAACTGCTAGCAGAATCCATCTTATCAATAGGTAGGATTTATTCAAAATAATGGATGAATTTTAAGAGATGTGAAAAATAAGTGAAATATAATTTTAGCACTAACTGCATTTAAAGTCAGTTTAGTTCAGTAAAATTATATTCTTATTAATGGTCAGTGTTTTTAATGCCAATCACTGATTATCCTGCTCAGCAATAGTCACCTTCTGTACAAACTGGAAAAAATATTTAAAGCCAGAATTATATTATTATATATGGCCCTTAATATTGCAGATAGGATTAAATAAAAACAGGTAAAAACTTTCATTCCCTCTAACGATTAAAAGCATTTATTGGAAATGATTTCACTAAAGGAATACATTAGAAATTTTTTGAATACTAGCTCTTTATGGAACCTGCAATAATTATATAAATTTCAGCAGTATTTTACATTTCATCTTTGTTAGCTATAAAAATATCAGAATGGAGGGATTATCAGAATTTCAACAATTAAAGCCAATTTTACTGACAATTCATGTCATAAGGAAGGGAATTTCTTTTCTTTTTTAAAAATTAATATATGTCAAAGTTTCGAAACTTGTTTGAATTTTTGGCATCATTGCTTTCTTTGGTGTTACATTAATATTTTAGTGAATCCATTCTGGAAAGAAAGGTTTATTTTTTTAGAGAAAGGCAGCAGGTTTCCTTCTGTTGGCAAGAAGCACATTAGTCAACACTTTCTAATTTTTCCTTTAAAGAGACATTTCCCTAGACCATATACCTGAAGAAGGTTGTAGATCTGTCAAAAAACCTAACAGCAACAAAAAAGTGAGTCAATACTCAAAAAAAAGAAAAAGAAAGACAAACTTCACTTTCTAACAATGAACTCAGAAGTAACATGTCATTCATATGTAAAAGATATATGCATGAATCGTGGGGGGGGGGGTTGTTTAGTTAAACTTGCAAGCTTTTATCATCACTAAGAATAGTTAGAATTAACATAGGCATGGGAATTTCCCAGCTGACCAATAAAACACACCAGTTTCTAAATATTACTATGATGGTTCTTAAAGTTAGAGGCTTACGGCCACATCCCGTTAAAACACTGGTTCCTGTATGATCACCGAAGTTAAGTAATGTTGTGCTTGGTCAGTACATAGATGGGTGACCATTTGGAAATACCAGGTGCTGTAAGATTGGATGTACAGGTGGTGTAATGGATAATGACTGAATTGTTAATTGGAGAGCAGAGTTTGAATTCCAGTTGGGTTTGTTATATTTACTTGGGAAAAGTATGAATCCACCTCTCTTCTCCCCCAGCTATGGGGCAATTAACAAGAATTGTATCACTAAAACCATTATTGTCTTAAAAAAAAAAAAAAAAAAAAAAAAAAATATAAAATAATTAGATTTTGGAGTTAAATAACCCATAGAGATTGATTATGCTGTTAAACAAAAGCAACAAAAAGTTAGGAGTTATTTCCCATTGCCTTCTTTAAAGTTTTGAAATTACTTGTCCTAGACTGGCTGGCAACCAATGTTAGAGAATGCAGTCAACTTCATTTTAACCTGTAGCTGGAGTGGGAGAATAATGAAATCTTGCCTTTCCTGGTGACAATAATGTAAAGTGAATGAAACCTATCTCGACCAGAATTAAAACTGCTCAGTAATTCCAATTTTCTTTTTTGTTTAACTATTAGTCTTCCCATGATACCTTTTAATTTTCTTACTAGAATACAAGGTCTTGATAGTATCAGATTTTTCTGTTTGTAATGTCCAAGTAAATGGACTGTCCAAGTAAACTTGATTCTTATATTTCCAGAGATGAGACATTTCATCTGTGGGCAAGGAGTTGTAAGGTGGGAAATAATTCATCACCTACAAGGCCGCGTAGATGCCTTTGAACTCCAAGGCAGGCAAATGAGGACTGGGCAGCTCCAGTCCAGATATAGCAGCAATACGCCATTTTTTGGTCTGATCTAAATCTGATCTAAAAAGAGAGAATAGCTGAATATGTATGCGAGAAGGGAGGGTCATTTAGTCAGATACTTACTGGAGCAGTACAATGAACTGACCATTTTTCCAGCATCGTAGGAAAAGAACAGCTATGCAAGTTCCTAAGGTCTGTGGGAGAACTGGAGTCCCAATAGATGTTCAAGGCAAGAGTCATCCAGTCTCCCTTGAGAGAGAACACAGCCATCATTAGAGGTGAATGTACAGGGTCTGATCAGTAGTGGTGGAATATTACTAGTTTGGTTTTGGTTGTATTGAATTTTATAAGTTAGTCCTTCCACTGTTGAGTCACCTGAACTAAGAGGAGAGATGAACTGCTAAGTTCTGGTCATTGAGATTTTGGAGAGTGCACCTATAAACTGTTGTATCATCTGTATAGAGAATCATTAATGATTAGAGTATGCTCTTAAGGTCATCAATATACCGTAGGAAAAGTGTAGGGGGCCATGGAGAGAACCCTGTGGAATGCCAGCATTGATTTTATGGGCTTCCAATGACTGGCTGTAAATAATGAACATCAGGAATTTACCTATCAGGTAGAACTTGAAAATAGAGGGAGCCCTTCCAGAGATTTCATATCTGGAGAGATTATTGTTGCAATGTATAGCAAGAGTTCATTCAAGTTGGGGCGGGGAGGCACCTAGCAGATTGGTCTCCCAGCAACTATTGGGGTAATAGGCAAGGCGGGGAAAGAGACAAGAGGTAACAAAAATAACATTGCCTCAGAAACCAGAGCAGCTTTAGAAACAAGATGCCCACAGGACTGATTTCACAAGCAACTGCCTCTTGCCAACTGATGGTTTTTCCATTGCTTTTATTGGAATGAGGTATCTTAAAAAGACCCAGATTTGAACCAGTTGCAGAGAGGCCTGTATCTCGACATGCCAAGCTGTCCTGTTGCTATTGGGGGAAAACTCGGATCAAACTGGTGTTGACAAACAAGTCTGCACACAATGTGGGGCCTCTTTTGCATCTGTACTGACACACATTAGCCACAATTCTGTAGCAGCCCCAATGCCATGCCTTTAATATATCCAGGGCAATGATCCACATGTAGAATTGTCTAGTGCCTTGCTGATTCTGTGAGTAACGACACTTAAGACCTCAGTAGTGGACCTAGAAGAATGAAATCTGTTGGAGGTTGTTCATGTCGAGGTGTTTGACAACCTTCTTATTGATTATAAATTCAAAGAGTTTGCTGATGACATTAAAGAGGCTAATATTGTGACAGGCACAAGCACTCACCTTCATTCTTAAAAACGAAGCAAATAGTCAAAACCTTCCATGTACTTGGGAAACATCTTAAGGAGATGTTTGAACAGTTTTGCCAGAACAAAAGAATTCTAGACTGATATTCTTAAGGATTTTGATAAGTTTTAAAACTTTCTGTATTGTGATAATATTACAGTTTGTGCTCTGTGAGGAAATCAGGTAAGGGATGGTCCTTATCTAACTGTGAGGCAAAGTTCATTGCAAAGTGTCTTGCTTTATCATATGAGAATGTAATAAATTCAGGGACATTTATGGTAGTTGGCAAAGAAGCTTTGACTTATTTTAAGCAAAAATATGTTCAAATAGACATCTGTAAATTTATGTCTACAAGCTTGTGCAGTCAAGAGTCTTAATAAAGACACTATACCTCCAAATTATGTTCAAATCTGTCCTTACAGGGGAAGCCACATATCTGGTAAATTTATTTTCACTTTTGAAATGTAAACACAATTTTTGAGGAGTTAATGTAGGTATGTCCAAATATTCACTAAAAAATGATCATACATGATGGGGAAAAAAAAAAAAAAAAAAAAAAATCCAAAACATAAAAAAAACAAACAAAAAAAAAAGTTTTATCATCAAAATCTTTGTCTTATGATAAATATATATTTACCAAGATTTTGTATATAAAAAAACTTTCAAAAATAATTTTATTCATTTATGAATAAATGCTGAAAGTTTAATAAAAATCTGACAGTTATCTTATTTCTGCAATAATTTCCAAATCAATGAGTTTTTCACCACAAAAAATGTTCAAAACCCCTCCAATTACAAAACTCATCTGAATTGTAAAATTAAAAAAAAAAAAAAAAAATGTAAAAAAACTTAAATCTTAAAATTTTGTATTAATTTGTAGAGGTCAAATTATATTACATAAAAATATATTTAGTAAATCACAAATGGAAAAGCTTACTACAATTCAGTGACGACCAGTATCTTAAAAAGAATTTTGTGTTTTATTTGTGTGTATAAATGTAACAATTTTTGTAAATATGAACATTCATACACAACATAAAACAAGAGCTGTAACTACAGTAAATTTAAAATATATTTTCTAATATTTCCTCAACAAGTGTCTTCTTAAGTTTGACTGAACTTACAACCACTAGGTCAAGAAAAAGTACCTAAAATTCAATATATGGTTTAAAACATTTTAAAAAATTTAAGATTACTGGTTTATGTTGTATTCACTATGTAATTTTTACTACAAATATTTCCCCACTTACATATATCACACAAACATCAGGTTATGAATGGGTCAATTCCTCATTAAAACACCTACCTCAGTGTTAAAAAATGCTTTTCTGCAATATTTTAAACTAAAAGTAAGTAATATTTGTTTTAATTCGGATTAATTAAACTTTAAATCAGTTAATATACCCACACAACAAGAATGTATTCACTAACCATGAAATACAATGTTTAAAGTAATAAAAAATTATTTAATAGTTACACACAATGTGTATGTGTAACAGGTTCTACAATATTGATACTGAGGATAATGAAGAGTTAACAAAATATTGAATTTTAAGAAATTCTTTTATCTTATTATAAAACGCAGATTGTGCATGTGTGTACGTTTATATATTGGATTGGATTTCCTACATTTTTCAACTGATTTCAACAAAACTTCACAGGACTGCGTAAAATTACCTTGCGGTGGTTCTGACAGTGCCAAAAATTGGAAAAACAATTGTTTTTGCATGAAATCAATTTGAAAAGACGATAAAACACGATTCTGTCACGAGAATGAAAGGGGGACAACTCATGTCGAGTTATACTTATTATAAAACCCAGGTTTGTGTGTGTATTTATATATGGGATTGGATTTCCTACATTTTTCAACTGATTTTAACAAAACTTCACTTTTTTTTGGCAGGTAGTGTTTCTTATTGTCTTGCACACTTTTCTTTATTTTTACATTTAGAATGCTTTAAAAATTCCATTTACAAGACAATTGTTTATAATAAAATTCTATTCAATCGATAGACTCATAACAATTGAAAACAATGTTTTTGTTTGAGTTTGACTAATTCATAAAAAAAAAAAAAAAAAAAAAAAAAAACTAATTAAGACATGCATGTCCGTCAACCTTAAACAATAATCTTTGTCAATTTTATTTTTCAGTCTTTATGATGGTCGATACTTGATCCGTCTCTTGCTGTTACATCCCTGGGCAACGCCGGGCTCTACTGTTAGTCTTAAATAATTGCTAAAAAAAAAATTGGGATTTTAAAGAAACAAACTAGAACATAATACACTGAGCATAAAAGATCAACTTTAGATTAAATGATTAAAAATCTCGTCTAAAACCAACAGGTGTACAGATCTTTTTAGGGCAAGTTGGAAAAAAAAAAAAAGTATTGTTTAATACAATGAGTTAGTACACTTTCAGATCAAAGTGCAGTAAATTTAAACATGACCTTTTCAATAAGGTTTTTTTTAAAAATGTTTTTAAAAGTTGAAAAATTCAATAAGAGTAAAATCATACTCTTTCACTCACATAAACACATCATAGTACATGTCAAGATTAGCAATGAGTGTAACAGCTATGTAAGAATAGGAGGCACGGTGGAGTAATGGATAGCAGCTTGGATTGAGGAATCGGAGAGCCGAGTTCGAATTCCAGTCGAATCCATTACATTCACTTACATGCTAATACACTCGGGAAAGGTGTAGGGAGAAGAAGAGGATTCACTCCTCTTCTTCTCCCTCCAGCTATGGGTAAATAGTAGGACAGACTGGGTTCTATAGCCTTGGATGGCAACTGGTCTAGGAGAAGGAAAACTCTGAATTCAAAACCTGCAGAGGGTTGTTTGGGGACCTTGTGGCTTGTAGTGCACCAGGTCTCTGTAATTGGCCCTTCAAAAAGTGTGGATGGTCCTGCACGAAACCTTCACCACTATCGG